ATATATATATATATATATGTATGTATACATATCCAATTCACCTTTTTCTTCCTTTGGGACATTCTTCTTCTTTGTTTATTTGAGCTGATATAATTAGTCAATTTCTCCACTGTGAGATCAATAAAGTCAATCAATCAATCACTGATCCACCAACACTGAATCTTTTTGGCACATTAGTGCCCCCTGGTGGAGGGGACATTTTGTACATAATAGGTTCTTAAACAGTCATAGATCCAATGAGCTACCACGTGATCTATTACAGCCCCATACAATCAGGGTCGTTCTGACCTTCCTGTTGATCATTCTTCCCCTTTCAGCACAAAGAATGTGCTGTCCCTGCTGTTCTCTACTGTGTTTACATCTTTATCTCCAAGGCCTCCAGAGTATTTACAGAATACAAAGGTTCTGCATCCATAAGGATCTTAAATGTCTGCAAATGTTAACAAAAAAAAACAGCATTTACCTTTACTAAAATAAGAAACACCTCTTTAAAAAAGGTTAATTAAACAGTTATGAGAACCCGTTACAGTTTTCATAAGATTATTCTGACTTATAATAATCAAATCTATACATGTATATCAAAGTATTCAATTTTTGTAAATCAGAAAAAATCCCTGTAGAAGCTTGTAAAAAGTAATTAAGTACTTTGTTTTCCTGGGGTTTCTATAGGACATAATAAAAGAAGCCTTTTTGCTTTTTCCATATTCAAAAGCACAGGATAATATATAATTCAAATTAGGCAAATGTTAATCTTCTTATAAACCAAAAAAGTTACCTGTTCCAATGTGCCCTTATTTGCCTATATCTATGGTCAGAGTTATTATTTAGTAAAACAAAAACAAAAAAATTGACATGTGAAAAACAAGGCTAGACAGGGAGCCACATTCATCCTGTCATATTGCACATAGACCAAAATGATAAAACCTCCTTGGCTCATCTAAAGCTGCATTAATGTTTAGAGTCTGTGTTTGGTGTTGGCATACCAAACAATAACATGTATGGCTTCCTAATAGCGTCTTCAGGTCAAATGAGAATGAGTTTAGACATACTTTAATGCCATTAGAAGCAACACTTTGGGCCTTTCTCCTCCATAATCCACAGGGAACATATTAGAGGTTGCACGGCATCATAAAATGAACATGCATCTCAGCCTCCAGATAAAAACTTCTAAGAAAAACAGTAGGACTGACTCAAGAGAAAAGGTTCTGCTATTTTACCCTTTTTTTTTAACCGTATTCACTGTCACAGGGGCGACTCAGACAACTCTCTCAGAGACCGACTGTTTTCTGTTTAAGCCATCGTCATTTCATTTGATTATCCGTTTTCTCTCATTTCCTCCCTATTTTCCCTTTACATCAGCTCCTTATTTGCATTGTCATCTTAGGTCTTCTGTCTCTGGTTATACTTTTGTTTGGGCATGCGCTGTTTAATTCATATTTCCCTTTTTGTCTGCACACATTTGGCAGTTCTGGATCTTATATTGTTACAGAGTTGAACCAAAGACAGAAATGTGGAAAATATTGATTGAAATTAAAGACTTATATTGATAAGAGTAGGTAAAAGAGGAACTTATAAGTAAATTACTGGAATAACCAAACAACAAAGACAGGAGCACAGATAAGAGTGCATGGATAGAAAGAGGGGGTAAGAAAACAGAGAGGTTGACGACACAATTGATAAAATAATGCAATGTGTCATGATTCTGTTTTTTCTGGACTTTTAAGTTTTCTTTATGGATTTTCAGTTATACTTTGATGTCATTTTGTGTTTTCTAGGTCATTGGTTTCATTTCCATTTTGTGTACTTGTTTTTTGTCTACTTGTTTTCTGGTTTTATCTGAGTTCTTATATATTTCTTGGTTACTCTCTGTTGCCCCCTTGTGCCAGTCTCCTTTCCTCTAGCTCCCTTCTAGGTCCTTCTCTCAACACCTGCTCCCAATCAGTTAATTACTCCATTCATTGTTCTGTTTATTTTCTTCATTTCTCCATGCTGTCATTCCCTAGGGCAGTGGAGAGTGGTACATTCAAATATTTAATTTCTTAGGCAGTAAAATAAAATAGGGCTGGGATCTGTTCTGCTTTGTGAGGACCCAATTGAAAATTTAAAAAAGCTTTCATCAACCAAAAAGTAAGCTTTTCTTATATGTTTGAGTTCACCTTCAGTTTTGACACACATCACAACCAAGCAGACGAACAGACTGGCTGTAGAGAACAGCCTGGGATCAGCTGTTTTTCACACTCAGATATCGGAACTCATCAAAGCAGCTCAGGTGTCTCGGAGAAAACAAAGTACAGCTAATTAAGTCAGTTGGATTTTTGCTTTGCATGTTGTTCCCAATTCATCAATTTTAAATGTGATTATAAAGGATTTATTCAAAGGAGTTCCGTTTTATACAGACAGGTTATACAGATTTGTACATACATAGAATTTTATTTTGTATTTATTTTGATGAAACGTGGTATATAAAAAAATGCCCAAAGGGGTACACAAGCCTAAAAAGGTTGGAAAACACTTCCCTAGGGTTATTCCTCCCTAGTGTCTCCTAGTTTCTGGTTCTTTTTTTTTTTTTTTTTGTTAATCTGTTCTGGATAATTACTTCTGTATTTTTACCTCTTCATTCAATTCAGTTCAGTTCAGTTTACTTATAGCGCCAATTCAAAGCACAAGTCATCTCAAGGCACTTTACAGTTCAACCAGATTATACAGTCAAATTGATTCAAAGTTTTCTATCTAAGGAAAACCAGTTGATTGCATTGACTCAATATATATTGACTCAAAATGCAATCCCTCACACTAAGCATGCTTGTAGCGACAGTGGAGAGGAAAAACCCTCTTTTAACAGGAAGAAACCTCCAGCAGAACCTGTTTCCCTGTTTCATTAAACTTTGCCTCTTCAGCTTTGCATTTTGGTCCTCAGCACGTATCCACTAATGCTGACACAATGGAGCTGTGTGAAGGATGAAACTGTGTGACTAAAAAACTGGAATTAACAAAGTGAGATGTTACTTAATTAAAAGCCAATCACTGAAACCACATACCAATACATGAAAAAATGAAAAATCTCAACAATGAACTGTGTAGAAAACCTGCTTCTCAAAAATATAAAAATTCAAAACCAAGCTAAAAACAAAATCACATAAAGCCCCGTGGATCAGATCAGAATCAGAATTACTTTATTAATTCCTTGCAGGAATTTTTTTTTCCTTGCAGTGCAACCGTTTACAGAAGAGAGAAAAATAAGATTGTAAGTACAATAGAGCAAAATAAATATAGTATGATTAGACAGAATAAAATAAGTAAAAATAGTAAAATTACAACCCACAGAGTCAAATTAAACCCTTCCCATATAAAAAGTGTAAAATAAAATAAAAGAATAAAATAAGGATCCTGCTACTTTCCTCTTTGTTCCCCTGCCCTTATAGTCCTGCTCTACCCACAGATGCAGCCTGTAGATCGCTCACCTGTTTGCACTCCAGTAATCACCACCTCTGCATTTAAGCATCCATTTTCTGTTCCATCCATGTCAGGTTCTCTTATTCCCCATCCTGTTAGATGACTTTAATTACTGTGTTTTAATTTTGTTGGTATTATTTTTTACTGTTATTTTATACAATTTACATTCTTCATCAATTCTTAATTTTTCAGCAATCCCCATTATCTTTTTTTTTTACAACTCCAAATGTAGCAGCCCATCCTCACATTAAACACAAGTAGGAAATGACCCTTGCTTTTATTATCATTATTATCAGCATATTACAGAAGCCACTCTAAACTTATAACGTAATCGAGTGATAATAGGCGAGTATAATAATCCTCATGTGTTATTCATAGGTGTTCAACACTTGTGTGCTTCCTTTCTGCTCTCTGCCCATCCGCTTGTCTTTCCATCTTAGAGACAAAAAGCCTCTCAAGTGAGCATCCGACAAAGATCATCGACAGCAACGTCAAAGCACTTAGCAGTGGAAGGACCCATCTTTGTTTTCTCAAACGTGACAAATTCAATGGAGCCACACTCTTTCCTGCTAACTAATCAAATCAGCGGTTTGGCCCGTTTTATGCCGGGGTGACGCTTTGCTCCGAGAGAGTACAGAAACATTTGAAGATCATGCTAAGATGTAGGAATCTGTTGACATGTTTGGCGTATTATCTCATTGAGCCATCATTAAAGAAAAGGAAGCCGTCTTTTGACCCCCCCATCCTATGTAAGTGCTTCACCTCACTTGTATCTATTCTCGGTAATTGAATTACCACAGGGTAATGGAAACCATGTAGAGTGCTGTGGGACATCCTTTTCCCACACAACAACCGTTTAATCACAGACAAACAGCGGGCACCGTGCCACATTATGTATCAACGTCTGTGGATGAGAGAGAGGAGGAGACAGTAAGGCGACAACAAAAACAAAACTGACTTTCTGTGTCATCAAGGATTTTGTTTGTAACTCTGTTAATGTGTTTTTTTCCCTGTGATTTTAGCTGGATATAAAAAGTTATAAATGCAATAGTGAAAGGCATTTCCTAGATATCTTCCTGGCATCGTAATGGATCTTAATTGGAACTATAAAAATATGAAGTGATGACTAGATTGGCATTTTATTGCCTCCTTTGCTACTTAGACGCCCCCTTATGAGCTATGCATTATCTCAAAGCCTATCACTACACAGTGGACAGTTCTTGTGCAGAGTTCACACACATCCAACCCACAACCACAGATGTTTCTCACCATCAGATCAGAGAAAACATCTCCACCTCCCTCCCCACCTCTGTCAGATCCAGGACTTACCCAGTCACGATCAGCATCTGATTTTTGAACTTCCCGTTTTTTCCTTGGAAATCTTTTAGTTTGGCCCAGATTTTTTTGTGTGTGTGTGCGATTGATTCTTTTTGTCCCGTCATGTCGTCTCTTTTGAGAGAAGAAATGCAGAGAGTTGTATTCCGACCTGCAAAGCACAGACTTGTGGAGTTCATTGAGATCGAAGAGCCGTCGCCTGGAAGGCATTTTCTCTGTGTCTCAGGTAAACTGCTTGTACTTTTTTCCCTGTTTTTACTGCAGAAGCTTGCTGCCGCACTGCATCTCTTTTCCCATTAAAAGTAAGTGTCTTTCTGTTCTCACAGTTGGAAGAAAAAAAGTGGTGCAGTTAAGCATAGTGCACTGTCAGATCTCTCAGACGACCCAGAAATCTGGATCCAAGAGGTCGCAAACCCAACGTTCCAGCATCCAGGAATGTTACAAGAGGATAGAGATCTGGTCCCTGCAAGACTTAACTCTTGTCGATGGAAGAGACCCCGATGTGGTAATTTAATAAA